AATAGTACCTGATTGTTGACCGCTAGCTCGTCGGGGACAGGGGGGGGCCTTCTTGAGCGCCTTGTGAAGGATCCCTGGGGCCTCCGCAGTTGCAATCCACTCACGAAATTCCCTTATAGAGCATCCCGAGGCACGCCCCCCTGGCCCTGCCAGTAACCCTCTTAGCCGTAATAGCCATTAGGTTAAGCTCCTCCACAGACACACTACTGATCCCAAGGGGCCTGACCTGCCACTGGCTCCAAGACGAAACATCCCCGTTCTCGAGACTGGCCAAAGGAACGTGCACTGCTTCAGGCTGATCACTGGCAAGAGCGGCACATGCGATACCTAATTGCTGCTGCTGAATGGGTCCGTTGTCCCGGACGCGGTGAAGATGCAGCCGACCTAGAATTGTGGCGAGGCGTCCCCACCACGAGGCAACTTGATCATGTAGAGGCTGCTTTCTCACTCCATCGGGGTATGAAGCTGGGCCCCCAGACGATCCCGACGAATTTGCACCAGCAACGCTCGGGCCTCCAGCACTAGCCGCTGGGCCAGCGAAAGAACCGAGACGCTCGGGGCCCGCGTCGGCCCCAGTCCCATGAGGCTGAGCGGGGCCATCCGAAGAAGAAATCTCGAAAATCCATCGGGAACGTAGAAGTCTGAATCGCTGTCGACGTCAAAACCAGCACCTGGATCATGGGCAGAGGCAGAGACAATTGTGACTGGCGCCTCCCCAGGGCGCTCGTGGCCCACGCCCGCGGCGCTTCCCTGGCTCGGCTCACGCGTCGAAGTGGCCAGGTCCCCGAACATGTCCTCGACTGCCTCCTGCTGCTTGATGCGCGATGCCAGTCTCGCCACGGCCCGCTGTGCCTTGGCTCTGCTGGATTTGGATCTTGGGACAGGTTGGGTTTGCGGCCGCGGAGCCTGAGGGGGACGAACGGCGACGACAAGCTCTCTGCAGAGGAGTTGACAACCTGAACTGCGAAGACGAACCTGCACCCCGCAATGCGGTCTCCAGGGAACCGCCAGCACCGCCGACACCTCCAGATTGTAGGGCACGCAGGAGTGGCTAGCCATGACGTAGTTTAGCATGCCCCCTTGCCTGAAATACATGTATGCTCCACCCCAGGCGTGAAGATGACGGCCCCGACCTTCTCCACGAACCCGCGGTCGACCAAGACACTCGGATCTAGGTTGAAGTCGCCCACCACGAACCACGGCAAACGTAGCTGCGTGACGAGGGCCCCCAACTTGGCGAACCTGAGGAGATTCTTGCCAGTGAGGCCCTCCGAGCTGAAGCCGTAGAAGCTGATGGCCACGACCGAGTAGCCGTGCATGTGGATGATGGTTGCCGCGAAGCCGTCGTTGCACGTAGTGCCTGGGGCGTGCAAGTCCTTCATGACCGCGCCGGGCTCGCTGAGCCGCTGGAGCTGTAGATGCTGACAACGCAGAATCCACTCACCTCCTTCGCTGGCTCTGCCCCGTGTGGCCACAGACTGCTCTTTGCCCGTGGGCCTAGCTGGGTTGTCGATCATTTTCAAATGCGCCTTATATGCCTGGCCCTTCCAGTGCAACAAGTCGCTCGCTGACTTGATGTGAGTCTCAACTAGAAAGACATAGTGAAACGGTGCGCACGCTGGTCCTGCGATGAAGTCCCATGCTTGCCGACCCATGGCGGTAACGTTGCCGAGGAGCAAGAATGCGTCCGACTCCATCTTGGACCCTGAAACTCCCTCAACTATGACAGGCTGTAATACACCACTGTATTGAGGATCCCGTGGCTGAGACGCACTCGTACGACTGAGCCCTGACGAGAGACCTGAACTTGTCGAAGGAGGTGGGCTAGTCTCAAAAGGCACCCCTCCATCTCGCGGATGTCACTGACGCGAGCCTGAGCCCGCACCAGGCTGCGCCGCCTCGGCCGCGCCCGCGGCCGCCCGCGCGGCCGCCTGCTTGGCGGCGCTGAGCCGCGGTGCCGCAGCCCTGATGCGCTCGTCGCTGCCGCTGCCGCCGTCGGCCTGCGCCGCCGCGGCACCCGCGGCTGAGGCGCTCGCCTGGCCGCCGCCTGATGCCTCTGCGGCTGGCGTGGCGGCGGCGGCGGGCGCCTCGGCTGCCGCTGGGGCCGCAGGCTGCTCGGCCGCATCACCATCCGCACCCCGGCGCTTCTTGACCAGGCGGTTGGTGATCTGACGCTGGAGCTCCTTGGCCCTGCCCAACCACTGAGCTACTTGTGTATTCTTGGTCTGAAGCTGATTGCGTGCCGAAGCAAAATCTGCCTTGAGCTCACGAAGGGCGACCTTCTCGGACTCCTCCGCCTCGAGGCCGTCGATGTCATCAAAGAACCTCTCATCCCACTGTGTGGAGAAAAGGACGTCCTTTTTCTCGTCGGTCGAAGGCGGCTCCGTGGGTATGACTCCCATCTTCTTGGCCAGCGCCTCGGTGGCAAGGCGCTTGGTGTCCTCCGCTGCTGCGAGACTGTAGGCCGCCTGCTGCTCACGCTCCTCGGCCTTGATCAAATTCTCCTGACATCGAGTGAGTGCTGCTATGGCTTGATCGCGCTTCAAGGCTGCGTCGCGCACCGCCCCGCTGGTTTTGGTCAAGGCATCCTCAGGTGCCAGACCCATGGCCGCGTCCCTGAGCACCTTGATCTGCGACTCGAGCGTGCGCTTGAGCAGCGGGTCTCCTGCCACCTTCACAGCCTCTTCGAGCACGGAAATATGGTCGGTCTTGATAGCTGGAGCGCTTGCTCCGCCAGTGAGCTTCTTGCCCTGCTGCTGACTGTCAGACTTTCCAACATACAGCTTGACTCTCCTATTGCACTTGGCACACCACCGATCTAATGACTCGAGCACGTCATTGTATTCGTGCCGACCGCACCCTTTGCAGGTGCTCCATTGCCTGGAACTCATGATGCCCTCTTAGCCACCGAGAAAGACGGCCCCCTAGGAATGGGCTGTGGCCTCGGTGCCCCCCAAGCGCTACGTGAAAGCGAGGGCCTGGCCTCGAGGATCGCCAACATGGGACTCTCGAGCCAGTATGCTTGAGAGGAGGAGGAGGAGGAGGAGGAGGAGGAGGAGGAGGAGGAGGAGGAGGAGGGAGGAGGAGGAGGAGGAGGAGGAGGAAAGGGAGGAGGAAAGGGAGGAGGAAAGTGAGGAGGAGGAGGAGGAGGAGGAGGAGGAGGAGGAGGCGGAGGAGGAGGAGGAGGAGGAGGAGGAGGAGGAGGAGGAGGAGAGGAGGAGGAGGAGGAGGAGGAGGAGGAGGAGGAGGAGGAGGAGGAGGAGGGGGAGGGGAGGGGGAGGGGGAGGGGGAGGGGTAGAGGGGGAGGGGGAGGGGGAGGGGGAGGGGGAGGGGAATGGGGGATGGGGGATGGGGGATGGGGAGTGGGAGGGGAGGGGGATGGGGGAGGGGGAGGGGGGGGGAGGGGGAGGGGGAGGGGGGAGGGGGAGGGGGGAGGGGGAGGGGGAGGGGGAGGGGGAGGGGGAGGGGGAGGGGGAGGGGGAGGGGAGGGGGAGGGGGGGGGAGGGGAGGGCGGGGGGGGGGTGGGGAGGGGGAGGGGGAGGGGAGGGGGGATGGGCAGGGGGAGGGGGAGGAGGAGGAGGAGGAGGAGGAGGAGGAGGAGGAGGAGGAGGAGGAGGAGGAGGAGGAGGAGGAGGAGCAGGAGGAGGAGCAGGAGGAGGAGGAGGAGGCGCAGGCGGAGGCGGAGGCGGAGGCGGAGGCGGAGGCGGAGGCGGAGGCGGAGGCGGAGGAGGAGGAGGAGGAGGAGGAGGAGGAGGAGGAGGAGGAGGAGGAGGAGACGGCGGAGGAGGAGGAGGAGGGGGCGTGAAGAGGCCAGGGAGGTGGGGGGTGATTTGGCACCAGGGCCGGCATTGGGGCAGAGCAGGATGGTCTCGGCTGCATGTAGATTGTAGGCTCGGGGCACGCGTGGGCCCTGGAACGCTCGAGTCCGTCGAAGGAGCGGGACCCAGAGAGACAAAGTGGAAGGCGAAAGGCAGTATCGGAGGTGGATAGACCTCCTACCCTGACACGTCGACTAAGGAATTGGCCGTTATCGATTCGCGAGAGGGCGTCGCGGCCGTCATTTTTGCGGGTCCAGGTCCGTCGGTTTCGGTCCCAGGCCGTTCTCACTACGGGGGTGCTTACTAAAGGGAGGTTTGTCCACCGCCGACAGTAGGCGCAGGAGGAGGAGAAGGGGCAGGAGGAGAAGTCGGGCGGGGCCAGGACGAGGATCGGTGCGCTCCCGGCGGAGCGTTCCGGAGCTCAGTTCGGCACACCCCTCACGCACGTCCTGCCCCGTGGTCCTCTCCAAGCCCGCCAGGTCCTTCAGGGGCGCTCGGGGGAGGCCGCGGCGCCCCGAGACGTCCTCCAGATGCGCCAGATCTCCGAGGTTATCGATTTCTCCAGACCTCGTCGTCGTCCTGGCCTCGCCTTGCGGAGGAGGCCGCCGGCCCCTCCTTCCGCCGGGGCGCTGGATCCTGGGAGTCGTCTTGGCGGGCCGCCCCCGCTCCCCAGAGGGGGGCCCCTTTCAGGGCTCGTTTCGATTCCTCCGATTCGATTAGATTCGATTTCGATGGCTTCCGATTCCGACTCGATTCGACTTGGGATCCCGATTTGGGTTCCGATCTTTTCTTGGAGGCATGCTGGCCTGCCGATTTCCGCGGACTCGACTCTTGCCGACTCGGCTGCCGATTCCCGCCGATCCGATTCACTTCGAGCGCCGATCCGGCTTGTCCATTCGCTTCTGGGCTCTCGTGCTGGCAGGGAGGCACAGGAAAGCGGGCAGGGCAAAACGAAGCACAAAACGAAGTCAGAAGACGAAATGACGACGCTCCCCGAGTGGCCCGGAACGACGCTCCCCGACGAAAACGAAATCGGAAACGAAGCCCGGCCCTGGAGTGGTCCCTTTCCCCCGCGCCTCCCCGAGGGCACGCCGTGCCTGCCCGGCCTGCCGGCCTGCCCCTATGATCGCGCGGCGTCGTGGGGCCGCCGGGGCCGCCCCCGGGGGGAGCCTGGCCTGCCAG